AGAGGAGCTGCAGCTGGTTGTTGTGCTTGGTGCTAGCTGGTGCATTATTTGAATAGAGAAAAGTGGACTAAAAAACGCGAAAACATGTTTAGAAACTGCTGCTCCCCAAGGCTGGTTTTCTTGTACAACCTCCTGGCTGTTTTGCTGTTGATCGCGTCGTTAGTGCTGGCGTTTTGGGGCCTGCCTCAAATCATCAGCAAACAGATACATAAAGTAAGTCTTGAAAACTATATACAGGGTGATTGATTGGGCCTGGAAGATGTTTTCCTTTATGAGGATTTACATGCCACTTAAATGCGAACGCAGAAGTGTTGCAGTGTTTCCATTTCCAGCCGTTATGCTAGAAATGTATGAAAACCTTCAGAAATTTTACAATGAAGCATTCGATCGACATTTTTTTAGCTAAAGAATATTCCATAAAGCTTTTTAAAACCGTTCTTACTATACAAGTCTACAAAGTCCAAGGAGACGAGGTCGCAGCCAATGCCCATCTTGAAAGAGTAAAAAATCAGCATGCTTTTTCAGTGGTGTTTCTAGTGGAAATGCGGCTTTCCGCCACTTTCACTCACAGCATTCGCTACTAAAGATAATAAATAACACCAGTTTGAGGAAAGAATTTTTGCAGAATATCAGTATTTATGTGATCGGTGGTTGAAGCAAAAAAACACCATTTAAATGAACACTTTTTTATTGCTAAGTGCCAACACAGCAAAAAATTGTAAGCGGTTGGTTAATCGAGTCTGTTTCCGAATTAAATTGTCTTTTCCGTTGTTGGATCCTGATTACTACTTTTTATTTAAATGTCCATAACGAGAGCCACTAAACAGGATTTTAAGAAATTTATTCCGATTTTCTGGAGTGTTTCTTGTTTTTTAAAATTGAATCCTCTGAGCACGGCAGATACAAAGAACAAAGCGTATATTGAATTAATTGCAAAACTGAAATTAATAGAGATGCAAACAAAATGGACTATAAGGTTTATTAAGAAAATGGACTCTATGTGGGAGTGTTTTTAAGAAAACAAATAAAAAGTAGAAGCTTCTGAATGATCAGGATAAAGGCGAACGATCGACCCATACGCACAGTGTCTAACTGAAGAACTGCAGTTCATCCCCTCTAGACTACAAAAATTATTTGAGACTGGATTCGCATACTTTTGATTTTTCTATAAATTTCATAAATTTCAGCCTTTGACGTGTTTGGATTTGCAAGTTGTAAGCTTTTAAAAACTTGCTTGTACTGTTGGATCACATTTATAAGTAACTGAAAGTTGAAAATTTTTTTGAAATTCAACGAATGTTCCGAATCAGCAAATTTTTTTTACAGTCAACAGTCGATGCTTTTTAACAAACTTCTAAAATGGCAGTTTTTGATCTGTTTGGACTTGCGAGCTGTGAATTTTTAAAGACAGCTTGTACTGTTGGGTCACATTGATAAGTAACCAAAACTTGCAAAATTTCTAAAAATTCAACGAATGTTCCGAATTAACTGATTTTTTCTACAGGCATCAGCCGATGCCTCTTCTATACCAATTAGAAATTTCAGGTTTTGATCTAGTTGGATTTGCCAGTTGGAAATTTTTTTTGGGTCTTCTACTGTTAAGATCATAAATAACTAAAAGTTGCAAAATTTTTAGAAATTCAACCAATGTTTCGAATCATCTGAATTTTTTTACGTTGATCACCCAAGGCTTCTTCTAGAAACTTCAGAAATTTCAGGTTTTGATCTGATTGGATTTCTCAGTTGGGAATATTTAAAGGCAAGCTTCAACTGTTGGGACACGTTCAAAAATAACCGAATGTTGCAAAATTTTTAGAAATTCAATAGATGTTTCGAATCATCTGAATTTTTTTACGTTCATCACTCAAGGCTTCTTCTAGAAACTTCAGAAATTTCAGGTTTCGATCTGATTGGATTTCTCAGTTGGGAATATTTAAAGGCAAGCTTCTACTGTTGGGACACATCCAAAAATAACCGAATGTTGCAAAATTTTTAAAAATTCAACGAATGTTTCGAATTAACTGATTTTTTCTACAGGCATCAGCCGATGCCTCTTCTATAAACATTAGAAATTTCAGGTTTTGATCTAGTTGGATTTGTCAGTTGAGAATTTTTTTTGGGTCTTCTACTGTTAAGATCATAAATAACTAAAAGTTGCAAAATTTTTAGAAATTCAACCAATGTTTCGAATTATCTGATTTTTTTAAGTTTATCACTCAAGTCTTCTATAAACTTCAGAAATTCCAGGTTTTGATCTGATTGGATTTCCCAGTTGGTAATTTTTAAAAGCAGGCTTCTACTGTTGGGACACATTCAAAAATAACCGAATGTTGCAAAATTTTTAGAAATTCAACCAATGTTTCGAATCATCTGATTTTTTTAAAAGTTTATCAGTCAAGTCTTCTTCTATAAACTTCAGAAATTACAGGTTTTGATCTAATTGGATTACTACTGTTAAGATAATAAATAACAAAGTCTTCTACTGTTAAGATAATAAATAACCAAAAGCTGCAAAATTTTTAGAAATTCAACAGATGTTTCGAATTATCTGAATTTTTTTACGTTGATCACTCAAGGCTTCTTCTAGAAACTTCAGAAAATTCAGGTTTTGATCTGATTGGATTTCCCAGTTGGGAATTTTTAAAGACACGCGTCTATTGTTGGGACACATTGATGTCCCGAACCTCATTAAATATCTCAGAAGCAAAATAAAATGTGACAAAATAACAAGAGACAAAAAAGTTTCCAAATTAATCAGTGACTAGTACTGTGGAGCCGTTTTATTGAAACTATTTTTTTTATTCGAGTTCTGATGCAAATCAAATGGGAGTGACCTACAAAACATCCTTCGAAGAAGATTGGATGGCTAAAACTTAAGGAGCATTTGTAAGGCGATTAGCACTGTTTGTACGCACAATCATAAGATAGGGTTACTACTTATAAGAAAAAACTAGAAAAAAACTTTCAATTCCGTCCTGTAGCTAATCAATTTCTGCCAACTCCTGGCTCAATTTTCTCCAATTTTTCACTCATCTTATCGTAAACTGCAGCTTTCATGTGTCTATTTTTATATATCTGTATATTGCATCAAATTTTCCCAAATTCTCTACTCTGCATGTACTCGTGAATCGTCCCGCAAGAAAGCAGCAAAGAGTTTCACTTTGATATTGATTTTATATGCCTGTTCTTCGACGATTGCTACTTTTATAAGCAAAAAATGAACATTCGATGAAAACTTGCAAGCAAGTCGATGTTTACACCTTCAAATTAAATGTTCTTATTGGAGCAATTAAATCCATTTCAAACAGTGGGGATTGAGCACAACTGGTAGGTTGGGTACTGTAATCCAATAATTTGTCCAAATTTTCCCTAGCAAACTGAGCTGACTGAAAACACAGACCAATGGGACAGATTCAAAGAACTTCCCTTCCCCATGGAGTTCAACATCAGGTTCTTCCTAGTGACGAACCCCGCGGACGTTTTGAATGGGTCGATGCCTATCTTGAAGGAATCAGAGCCCTACAAATACAAGTCTGAACGGGAAGAATATACATTTTGCAGTGGTAAACCGTATCCATTTTATAGGTCCACTATCAAAAGAACCGACATTCGATTCGACGACATTGAGGAAGACAGTGTGACCTACAGAAGATCCTTCAGCTTCGAGTTTGATGGTTCGGGGACAACAAGAGAAGACGATAGTATCACCGTAATCAATCCACTGCTGATGGTAAATGACCAGTTTTGGGACGCAAGGGAGGAAGTTAATTTAACGGCTTTTGTAGGCATCCTTTCAGCTGACCAATGATATTCAAAGACTGGCAATGGCTGGGTGTAGGAAGTATATCCTGGAACCGGCCGGACTGGATCAAGTCTTCCTCACGACCACAGTGCGGAAATTGCTGTTTGATGGGATTTATTTTGGGTTCCAGAACGCTACTGGCAAAGGAGTGGCGTGCGAAATGGTTCGCAAAGAGCTGGGAAAGATTGTGGCCAACGTCCGTGTGGTAGAACACCTCAATGACACCGATTGTTACCGTCTTGCCATTTTCAACTACGTAAGTAAATTGATCTGCTTGCGACCAGGAGGAGACCAGAATTGAATCTTTCCAGAAAACCGACAACTTCCTGAAAAACTCCCCCGATGGAATATACACGATCAACCGTGGCAGAAACAATGCGACCGCCTTGGGGAGCATCATGAGATGGAACGGGGCCACCACAAGTACCACGTATGGCACCTCAACGTCTATCAACAACCTGACTTGTCACTCCATCAAAGGTACCGATTCCACCATCTACAGCCCTGAGCTCAAGGCGGGTGAAAACTTGATGATTTTCAACACGGATTTGTGCAGGCAAGCGGTGGACGTGCTATTGGAAATTTATTGATCAACGAGTCAATTGATTTGCAGAACAATCCAGCTTGTTCAGGTGTCCTCAAACGAAGTCTTTAACGGCATTAACGCCTTTAGGTATAGCACGGGATACACTTTGTTCAGGCCTGAAACGATTCTGAAGGAAAACGACTGCTATTGCTCGCATGGTACCAAAGGTGCTGACGGAAAGCCGAGCTGCTTCCTAGACGGGCTGCTAGACTTCAGGCCTTGCCTTGGTAGGAGCATTCACGCAAAACACAGTTCATTAAACCAGTTTAAACTCTGTGGTTTACAGGGGCACCGGTTTTAATTTCCCAACCGCATTTCCTGCACGCAGACGTAAAATACATCCGGGCCGTATCTGGCCTCAGTCCGGATGAGGATAAACATGATATTTATCTTTTATTGGAACCGGTAAGGAACTTAGTGCTAGAAACCGCTCATTCAGAACGTTATACAGGGTGTTTGTACAAAATCCTACTTCAGATTCCTGGGGGGAAAACTGGATGATTTAGAATCCGTTAACCATATAGATTAGGTCTGGGTAACACTGTGGATTTTCAGGTGTTCACACAGCGACACCGACACGGCTTGCCGTGTTGATACAGCGACACAGTGCGCCACACTTTTTATATGTTGGGAAATGTTGGGTTTATATGTTGTTTCGTCATGTCTAGTGGTTCGTAAGTTCGCTAGCGGTGTAGCGCGTTCAATGTTTTTTCTTTCGTTTTACTGAAGAGAGACTATGTCAGACGCCGGTTGCGTTGTTTTATTGAAAGGAATGAATGAAGTGGCAACATGTTTTCTTCTTGTAAAGCCTATTTGTCTCACAAGAATTTTTGATTGGTTTCGATGCTGCTGAGGCAGCCATAAATTGTGACCGAAAGACTTCTGCTAGTTTATGTATGCAAGGACTGAGAAAACCATTTAAATTCGTTTTTTGGCCTTCTTTCTCGACTGATTTTTCATGCTATTAAGGATTGCAAATTTTGATTTTAGGTTGAAATTTTTCCAAGGGAGGTCGATTTTTTGAAAAAATAAAAATTTTCTGAAAATGTCTTAAA